GTGGTGGTTCATGCCTGTAATCCCAGCACTTTGGGAGGTGGAGGTGAGAGGATTGCCTGAGCTCAGGGGTTCAAGACCAGCCTGAGCAACATGACAAGATCTCATCTCTACAATTAAAAAAAAAAAAAATCAGCTGGGCATGATAGTACATACCTGTAGTTCCAGCTACTTGGAAGACTGAGGTGGAAGGATTGCCTGAGCCTAGCAGGCTGAGACCACAGTGGCCATGAGTGTGCCACTGCACTCCAGCGTGGGCGACAGAGGGAGACTGACTCAGAATAGAATAGGATAAGCCAGGCTCGGTGGCTCAGCCTGTAATCCCAGCACTTTGGGAGGCTGAGGTGAGTGGATTGCCTGAGCCTGTGGGTTCAAGATCCGCCTGGGCAACTTGGTGAGACCTCATCTCTACAATAAATCAAAAATCAGCCAGACGTGGTAGCGCATGCCTGTAGTTCCAGGTACTTGGAAGGCTGAGGCGGAATGATCGCCGGAGCCCAGCAGCCACTGCACTCCAGTCTGAGCAACAGAGTGAGACTCCAACTCAAAAAAAAGAGAATAGATAGGATAGGATAGGATAGGGTAGGGTAGGGTAGGTAGGGTAGGAATAGAATAGAATAGAATGGAATAGAATAGAATAGAATGAAAAGGGACACTTAAAAATGAAAAGACCTAAGAGACCCATCTGCCTGGACCCTGATCCAAACCATTCCAACTAAATGCCAAGCAAGTTTTGAGACAATTGGAGAAAGCGGATCATGAGTATTTGAGAGTATGAGTTTGTTCATTTCATTAGATGTAGTAATGGCAGGCTGGGCTGTTAAATACAAGGGCTTGTCTGGATGGAGATACATACTTCAGTGTCTATGGGTGAAATGGTGTGTGGCTGCTGTTTGCATGAAAACATTGCCCCCAAAAAGTGAGAGTTAGAGGAAATAAGCATTCAGAAGGGCACATCTGGAGAACAGGAGAATCTCGTAATGGGGCTCGTTAATCTCCTGAGTCAGTCCTGGACTTTTGTGTTTGAATTTTGGTACAGTCCAAAGTAATGAGGTGGGAGGGCAGAGTCTTGGAGGAGCAGGCTTTGGAGGGACGATCAGAAGCGTCGGTCCTTTGGCCAGAGTTGTTCAGAGCAGAGGCAGGGCAGCCCCAGAGGTGTGCGTGGGCCTGATATCCCCGCCCTGCGCCCCAGGCCACGTTCAGCACCACGGAGATGGCGCTGGCGCTGAACCGCTACCTGTGCCTGGCGGTGCTGCCGCTCATGACCAAGTGTGCGCCGCTCTTTGCGGGGACCGAGCACCGCGCCATCATGGTGGACTCCATGCTTCACACGGTGTACCGCCTGTCCCGCGGCCGCTCGCTCACCAAGGCTCAGCGCGACGTCATCGAGGACTGCCTCATGGCGCTCTGCAGGTGGGGCGGGGCCCGGGCGGGCCGAGGGCGGGCCGGGGGCGGGCCGAGGGCGGGGCGGGGGCAGGCCTCCAGCGGCGCTCCAACCCCCGGGCACGTTCCCACAGGTACATTCGCCCGTCCATGCTGCAGCACCTGCTGCGGCGCTTGGTGTTCGACGTGCCCATCCTTAACGAGTTCGCCAAGATGCCGCTCAAGGTAAGGGAAGCCCTCGTTAGCGCGCTCGTGTCCTGCTGCACCCACTGGTTTGCTCTGTCCTCCGACTTGGGGCTTCTGGAAATCAGCCCTGCCCGGCCCAGTTAACCTGCACCAGAGAGGGCGGTGTCCCTGCAGAAACCTCTTAGCGTCTTGCTGGGCGCGTGCCTCATGCCTGTAATCCCAACTACTCAGGAGTCTGGGGTGTTATCACTTGAGGCCAGGGGTTGGAGACCAACCTGGGTAACGTAGCAAGACCCGTCTCAAAAGAAAAAAAAGCCAGGCTCGGTGGCTCAGCCTGTAATCCCGCGCTTTGGGAGGCTGAGGTGAGTGGATTACCTGAGCCCACGGGTTCGAGACCTGCCTGGGCAACTTGGCGAGACCTCATCTCTACAATAAATCAAAAAATTAGCCGGGGCGTGGTAGTGGGCGCCTGTAGTTCTGGCTACTTGGAAGGCTGAGGCGGAAGGATCGCCAGAGCCCAGCAGGTGGAGGCTGCGGTGGCCGGGAGCGGCCACTGCACTCCAGTCTGGGCGACAGAGTGAGACTCCAACTTAAAAAAAAAAAAAAAAAAAATCTCTTAGCATGCTCATTTACATACTAGGGTTCCTAGGACATTCACTTTGCCTCATGGGTGCCACTAGCACTCCCTAATTAGTGTTTAATTTGCCCAACAGTGAGCCAGCCCCCATTTCAATTAGGATGTGGTTGCATGGGGCACACTACTTTCCCTAATTAGTATGTTTGTTCGCATGCCCAGAACACCAGCCTCCAACTATTCAAATGAGCGCATTTATTTGAATAAACACTACCACAGCTATTCCGAATATTTGCACACTGTCTCTCCTGTTTTTACATTTGCATACTAGTTTGCATAAAGAGATACCTCCAACTCAGATATCTTGGCTATTTTGCATAATACATCTAAATCAGTCTCTATTTTAAGTTTGCATATTGGATGGTGGAGGCCCCTTCCCAATTACCATATATTTGCATGGGATACTGCTTATGTTTCTATCTGGCATGTTAATTGCATAAGCACATATCACTCCATCCATATGCTCATTTGCATACTACCCTACCCATGGATTAATATTCGCATGCTTATTTGTGTAAAGCCACACCAGATACATCCAGCTCTAGTTTAATGCCCATCCTGACTCTAAATTAGAATGCCAAACTTGCATAATACACTGTCCAGGACCACTCCTCAATAAACACACCATGCCTTCCTTTATTAGCATCGCATTTGCATAACCCACACCTCCTCCATAATTTGAAAGCACTGGCACCCCTCCCCCTTCCTGGGCTTTCCTTTGCCTGCCATCCCCTAACACGTGGCTCATCTGTGTGCCCCTCTCTTGCTCCCCCCCAGCTCCTCACCAACCACTATGAGCGTTGTTGGAAGTACTACTGCCTCCCCACAGGCTGGGCCAACTTTGGGGTCACCTCGGAGGAAGAGCTGCACCTCACACGGAAACTCTTCTGGGGCATCTTTGATTCTCTGGCCCATAAGGTCTGGGCACCAGGGAGCCCCAAGAGGGGCCTATGTGGAGGGTTTGGGGATCCAGAATGAAATTCCCAAATTTGGGGAGCTCAGGGAGAAGGCAGTTCTGCAGGTTTGGATCTAGGATAACCCATGGGTGAAGGCTTTATTATGGAAGAGGGGATGGGCCCTAGTTTGGGGGCTTGAAAGGGGACCGTATGAGGGGGATTCAAAGGTCCTATTAGGTCTGAAGCTTGGGTTCAGGGAGAGGGACCATAACTCAGGTTTTAGGATTCAGGGAGGAGGGTCGATGATGGGAGCCGGTGACTTTGAGGTCAGGGGCTCCAGGGTTGGAAGAGGCCTGCGGTGACCTCCTGCCCCCACCCTGCCCGGCATCCCTAGAAGTATGACCCGGAGCTGTACCGCATGGCCATGCCTTGTCTGTGTGCCATCGCCGGGGCCCTGCCCCCTGACTACGTGGATGCCTCCTATTCATCTAAGGCGGAGAAAAAGGCCACGGTGGATGCTGAAGGCAATTTTGACCCCCGGCCTGTGGAGACCCTCAAGTGAGGCCTGGGGGCAGGAGGGGGGTGGTGAGACTTAGGGGCTGGGAGAAGGAGAGGACAGTCCTGGGCTGGAGGGATGCCCGGCCCCAACATCTGCCAACCCTGTCCCCTCCACAGTGTGATCATTCCAGAGAAGCTCGACTCCTTCATCAACAAGTTTGCGGAGTACACACATGAGAAGTGGGCCTTCGACAAGGTTGGCTTTGGGGTCTTCTCTCCTAGAACCTCTCAAGACCCCAGCTTTCCCTCAGACCTGGGTCTTCCCTGAGATCTCCAACCTTCTCTGAGACCCCTAACTTTCTATGGGAGGACCCCCAGCTTTCTCAGGAGCCCTCGGCTCCTCCAGGGTTCCCCTCTGTGTCCCCCAGGCTGCTGTCTACCCCTCACACTGCCTCTCCACCTCTAGATCCAGAACAACTGGTCGTACGGAGAGAACATCGATGAGGAGCTGAAGACCCACCCCATGCTGAGGCCCTACAAGACCTTTTCAGAGAAGGTGACCAAGCCTTGGGCCCAGCATGGGGTCAACATGAAGACCCCACATTTAAGGGATCAGGGAGTAGTGAGGGAGTGTCTTAGGTTTGCATCAGTGGATTCGTGGGTGAGGGCTCCCCATCCATGGACTTGGCCTTCTCTCAAGCTTGGTCGCCTCCCCCAGGAGATCTCAGAGTCCTAGTGTTCCCTCTCTTATAGAGGGTCAAAGAGTCCTAGTGTTCCCTCTCTTATAGAGGGTCAAACAGGGGCCTTGACTGGAAGAGTTCTCTGAGTTCCCAAGTGTCAAAGGGGAAAATGAGAGTTTGGGAGATTTTGTTACAGAGCAGGGTTCAAATCCCTCCTGGACGCACTTCTTGGCCTCATAGTTGGGATTTCTCCTTCTTGGGAGGTGGAGGCCGGTGAGACTAAGCCAGGGGCTCCTTCCTCCACCTCCTTCTCACTACATTCCTCCAACTTCCCACCCTCGTGTCTACCCCAGGACAAAGAGATTTACCGCTGGCCTATCAAAGAGTCCTTGAAGGCCATGATTGCCTGGGAATGGACGATAGAGAAGGCCAGGGAGGGTGAGGAAGAGAAGACGGAGAAGAAAAAAACACGGAAGATATCACAAAGCGCCCAGGTGAAGGCGGGGCCTGGGCAGAGAGAGGGCGGGGTCGCCAGGGGATGAGGACTGGAGAGGCTGAGGACAGACAGGGTGGAGTCTAGAGGGGAGAGGGGCCGAGGGACCCAGGTGGAGTCAGGAGAAGGGACGAGGCCAGCGAGGGGTGCAGAACTCAGAGATCTGGGGAAGGAAAGGGCATGGGTCTGAAGAATCGCTGACGCCAGGGGAGAAGGAGGGGGCGGCTTGGGGCCAGGGCCTTAACAGGGGCCAGGAGAAAGGCCTAGGGCCAGGAGAGGAGGGGCACAATGGCCAGGCTGAAGCCTGGAGGAGGGGCCGGTCTGGGCTTCCTGCTCCCCCTTCCAGTCCTCTCTCTCCCCCTTGGCCTCCCAGACCTACGACCCGCGAGAGGGCTACAACCCCCAGCCCCCTGATCTTAGCGGAGTTACCCTGTCCCGGGAGCTGCAGGTGAGACCCCCTGACCCTTTTTGGGGGGCATGAGGGTGCCTTTTGGGGGATGCAGCATCTTCTGATTCTGGCCCTTAACTCTTCGTTTCCACTCCCAGGCCATGGCAGAACAACTGGCAGAAAATTATCACAACACGTGGGGGCGGAAGAAGAAGCAGGAGCTGGAGGCCAAGGGTGAGGGCGCCTGTCCCACCCCCACGCCCCCCCGTGGCTTCACCGTGGGACTCTGAACGATTGTCTTCACCCCCTTGAATCTCGGTTTCTCCACCTGTAGAATGAGATAACAGCGTTTACCACCGTAGGGTTGTGGCGGGAATGTGACGGGCATCGGAAAGCAGTGTTTCCGTTATTCTTATCTCCATCTTTATTGCTATACTCATGCCTACCCTCAACGGCAGGAACCACTGCGGCGAGGGCAGCCTGGGCTCCCTCCAGACCCCTGATCCCTGCTCTGTGCCTCCCCAGGCGGGGGGACCCACCCGCTGCTGGTCCCCTACGACACACTCACGGCCAAGGAGAAGGCTCGAGATCGAGAGAAGGCCCAAGAGCTGCTGAAATTCCTGCAGACGAACGGCTACGCGGTCACCAGGCACGCCGGCTGGGAACCCCGCCTGGGAGCTGCAGGAGGAACCCGCCCGGCCAAAGCTGGGAGAGGCGGGCCCGGAGAGGGGAGGAGGCGGGGCCGGCGCAGGGCAGAGGCTAGGGGCGGCGTCTAGGGGGA